AAAGTTACAACTATGTTTATTGAGGTTTAAAGGCAAAATAACTCCTCAAGTTTAAAAAATCTACAGTTTTTAGATAATCTGTTCATTCAGAATATATGTAACAGATGAAAATGTATTTTTGTGAATTAAATACTTTAAATTATTTTGAAAAAATAATCTATGTACATTTAGATAATGGTAGCATTAATGTGACAGTATTTATCTAGACACAGACACATGCTTTGTGGTCTCCTTTAATAATTCTACAGAATAGAATCCCCATGTTGGCAAACATTGGATTGTATCATAAATCACGGCCCTACTGGTCAGCCCCCTGGCACAACCATGTCCTTTAACAACTATAATTTTACTCTCTAACTCATAAACCTTCCTCCGCCTACCTTTAACTCCCCATTTCTTCCATTTAGAATTATAGACTATTCAAGCTAAAAATAAAAGTTTAGTGCTTATCTAATCTATTTCTCCCAGGTAGTTCATAGATATTGAAAGGCCAGATAACTATGATTGTCTACATGCAGTTCCAGAAAGCCTCAGCAATACACTTGGAAAACAGGGTGTAGAAATTTCTCAAGCTAGACTCCATCCCGCAGTTCAGTCAGTTGTTCAGTCTTGAGTTCTGGAGCGATCGCTTCTTGGCCTTTTAGCTAAGATCAAATGGAGTTCTGGAGTGAATATTGAGCACCGATAGCACACTACCACTTGAAGGCTGTAGGCTGACATATAAGTGCATTCTTCCCTAAGCCATATCCAAGCCTCATAAGCTACATGGTGCATAGTCCTGTGGTAGAAAATCATTCTACAGGGAAAAATTAAATATCACTCCTGAAAATTCTAAATCATTTTCAATGTGGCTGGGATGGAAAAGCATCATTTAATTAGCAAGTGCAATAAAGCTGTGACATTTAAAAATAAATTATGACATATTTCTCTGCTTCCTTGGTACACTAAATGGTGATATACTGTTCTTTATGTTGCCATTTCCAAGTTTTAACTGTTTTTGCTTAATTGGTTTAATCCAAAAAATGTCAGTTAGGTAATTACCCCTCTGCTGTTTGAATCATCTTCATGAATTGAGCAAAAGAAAATTGACTTCAGAAAGCGAAATGCAATTACAATATAATAAATACCAAGGGAAATATTATATCATTTTAATATAACAAAACAATATTTTATATGAGCAAAACTCAGTTTATTTTGTAGGTGTAAAAGAAATTCTCTTATTCTAAAAAGTAATTTACCAAACAAATGATCAAATATAAATTAGCTAATCCAAAGTCACTTTTATTCACTTATGAATGTATTAATTCATTTGAAAAGTATCTATTGAGTGCCAATTATATGCCTGCCCAAACAATCTTATAATTGTTTTAATGGAAGCCAGTAGATGAGAAAAAAAACATTATAAAAACTATTAACATAAATCCATATATAATTACAAAATGCGATAAGTTTTGGATTAAAAAAATTACAAGGTTTTATTTATGTGAATGTATCAGGACCTGGCTCATTGATAATACGAACTGAGATATAAAGGAAGAAAAGTAGTTAGCTGGTATTGAGGTACAAAAAGAGTATTTCAGGCAGGAGATGTGAGTACATTTTAGGAACTGAAGGAACATCAGTGTGGGCAGAGCACAGGCAAGAAGGGAAAGAGTAACATGCGATGAAGTGGGTCAGTTAGTAGAGGCCACAGCATTTAGACATGTTAAGAATTTATTCTATCCTAATAGCTACAGGAGGTCATTGAAGGATTCTAAGTGATAATATGACAATCAAAACAGAATTATAAAAAGGTCATTTTGGCTACAGCAAACTGAATGGATTGGAAAAAAGGAAAAGTAAGTTCAAGAGATTAGTTAGGAGGCAATTGCAGTATTTCAACCGAGGGATGGTGGTAGCTCAGACATGTTAGAGCTCAGAAAGCATTCCTCAAAGTGAAAACTTCAGAAGCAGCCTCAGAAGCAAAAGTTTTACTCTGATCTTCGCCTGCCTTCCTGTCTGGCAGTCCCACTCTCCCCTGAAGCTAGCCATAAAAACTAGAATCCCTCTTCCCCAAGGAAGGTTGCATAAACTAGAACCCCTTTTTTCCAAAGCCAGCTATAAAACCTAAAAATATGCCTCTAATCTTCCCTCTCCTTTTCTGTGTAAAAACTAGCCATAAAGAAATTATCTGACCTAGGCCTGGCAAAGTAGGTCTGACAAACTCCTCCATTTCAGAGAGGGTCCTGCCCCAAACCAGAAGGAAGGAATGCATACTCAGAGAAGCCTGGAAGAATCTAGACAGACAGGCCTTGCTGGGTTTCCCCAGTCAGATTATTAGCATGAGATCATACCAGCTTTGTCTAATCATATTTCTATGTGGCTGTCGATAGTTTTTTGAACCTAAGCATATAAATGGAAAATTTACTCTATTTTTGGGTCTTCATTCTGAAGGCTCCTGTGTATTCACGTTAAAGAAATTTGTGTGCCTTTTCTCCAATTAGCCTTTGTGAACTGATTTTTCAGCAAACCTTCTATAGAAAGTAGAGTTCATGTGTTCTGTTTAACAATCCATAAAGTCCCAAGTTATTTGTGTTCTACGATTGACCTATTTTCACAGAATTATATGTGTCAGAGGAAAAAAGAAAGCAGAGTGATATAATAGAAGGTACATGTGGTTTGGTTTAGAATCTGTTCTGAACTTTTGGCTCCTCTACCTATTATCTAAGGGACCTTATACAAGGCACTTACGCTCTCGAAGCCTCAGCTTCTACCTCTTTGGAGTTCACAAAAAAATACCTCTCACAGCTGAGAAAACGAAGTGTGACAATGTACTTGATTCTCTCAGCATGTGGAAGGCCAGTTAATATTGAAAAGCCCCAGGACAGATCAGCTGATCTTATCACCTTGGCTCAGAAATATCACCTTCCTTTTGAAACTTGTTCCTCCTCTTGGATTTTCTTGCAAGTGAACACCACTGTAAATCCACCCCAGAAGCTCAGGACACATCCTTTTCCCTCACCCTTCATGATCAAGTCATATAAACTCTAGTCTCTAAATAGATCTTAAATCTGTGGATGGGCTGCCTTTCTCAACCTCTTTTACTACCCAAGATCACCAGCCTCTCTAGCTTAGATGCTCCTCTTCACTGAGTTTCCTGTCTCAGCTTTCTTGCCCTCCCATCCATCACCAGCCAAGAAAATCTTATGGTCTCAGCTCTTCAGCCATCCCCTTACATCAGGAAAAGCTCACGCAGTTTCTTAACATGACTTGGAACACACTTCATGATCAACGCTTTGCTTACTTTCAGGCTTCTCTCTTCCTGCTCCTCTGCTCCCTTCTGGTCCAGTAGTTGAAAGAAATTACCCTCCATTTAGGACTTGTAACTCTCAGACATACTCCCTTTCACCTCCAGACACAGGCCACTGCATGTTTGTGCTTCCTCCTGGATGGACTGCTCTTTTTCCAAGGCTTCTCTTCACTTGGGGAACAACTAATCAAAACTGAGGCCTTGGCACAGATAACACTTTGTCACTTGATGGTATCCCAAGTATGTAGGATCGGCTGTAACATGTATTTCATGCCACAAGAGTCTGGATTGCCGAGAGTCACACAGGTCAGAGGTGGTGGTGTGAGGAGAAGACACAGGCCTCCTGCCATGTGTTGCAGTGTCCCTCCTCCTCCGTCATGCTGATGTCAGCCTTATTCATCTCCATTGCATTTGCTCTCTTCATTAAGACTTAGAAACATTATTTTCATGTGCGTTCAAAATGTTGTACATTCATTGTGAGTTACAGGTTTAGCACCTACAACGAACTAGTGTCACTTCCTCTCCAAAGCCTTCTTTGACTCTTCTTGACAGTGGAAGTCATGGCTTCTGTGTTCTGGTGGCACTTGCAAATATTCCTACAAGATTTTTCATACTTATCTCCTTCCCATGATGTTATGAATGTTTTTGAAACTAGGACTATCCTGGATTCATTTTACATCTCTAGTACTCAGGACTGTCCTTGGGACAGAGAAGCACTCAGTTATTTGTTGAACTTAATTGCACTCCAGAGCTGAAAAATAACTGAATGAGGGCAACTAAAGACGTGCCACACACAAACACACAGAAAACACACAGAAAAAGATGCAAGTATGAAAAAAAACAAAACTAAGATCATGGCTCTGCCTTCTGGAGATACGGAGTTTAAGAAAAGGCCTGGCTCTGGCTAACATAAAGACCAAGAAGGCGATAGAGAAGATGGTGCAACTATAGGAAAAGATGTCCTCTCCAGGTGAGTACCAGCAATCCGTCAGTGGCCCTCCTGCATCTTTGAATTCAAGATGGAGAACTGGAATTGGGAAGGAAGACACTCTCACTTTCATAGAGCTGGACAATTAAGAGCACTTTCTATGCATGGTCTGGAAGCACAATATTAGCCCTAGAAAAGCTGGTTTCACAATGTTACAGGTTTTTAAAATGACAGGATTAAAGTCTTCCAATTGTGATAGAAACGAAACTAAGCTTGGGACAGGAATCCAACTATTAGTCCTGGTTTTCTCCTGGGGCCTTAGGCAAATCTCTGAGTTTAATTCCCTCCTCCACAAAATAAGTGGTTTGAACCTGATTATCTCCAAGGATGTTTTCTGGTTCAGGAAATCTGCAATTTATGGGCTTGATACAGGGATTTATGTAAAGTACCTACATAGCCAAGGGTGAGAAGACAGTCAGTCTCATTAATGTAAGTACAGCAGACATCCAAACTCTTCCTTTTCATTCTTTACTTGATCTGGACTAGCAGACACACACAAGCATGACTACATCCCCTCATCTGTACAGAGTAAGCAGCACAGCCAAAACCTTCCTTTCTTTTTTTTGGTTTTGAACCTTTAATGAGAAAAAAATATATACTATGGAGCTCAAGAGCACTGTGTGTTTGGTGTGTTATTGGGTCAAGGGTTGGAGATACACAACAGAAATACACACGGTCCTAATACGAAAAACTGGTGCCTGGCACAATGAGCTCTCAGATTCTTCACTCAGCAGCATGTTGGGGATCCCGCGGCTGATAGGGAACATATGTCGACTCCGGGCACTGCAGGGTGCCCTCCACCACTTCCACCTCCAGCAACAGGTGGTGCATGGTCCTCAGAAACTCTTCATTCTCCTCATACCCCTCAGCCGGCCCTTTAGGCACCTGGATCAGGCACAAGTTATCCTCCTCCTCCAGGAATGCCGCCCACTCCACCTTGGGTATCATACGCGCCACGAATTGTGGGTTGAACTCCACGGGGCAGATGCGGACCTCTGTGGCCTGGAGGCGCAGGGGGAAGCCACGGGGCCCCACCCTGGGCACGTGCGAGCTCAGTAGATTGTGGGTGAGCAGTTTCATGTCTCCTCACGAGCTTTCTCCAGGCCGGAACTGCCAAAACCTTCTTTAACAAAAACTTGGAGATGCAGTGAAGTTGTGAAGCAGAAGTTTTCAAAGTATCATAAGCAATCAGGCAGTTTTTTGAAAACCCAAGTTCCAAGCCTTGCTGCAGATCTGCTGCTAAATCAGGATCTCCAAGATAGAGCCCTAGAAATGGTATTTTTTACAAAGCTCCCCTTTGATTTTGATTTGGGGATCATTTTCAGAGGAAAATTTGTGTTTCTCAAGGAGTAGCTTATGAATTACTTTCATATGAGTTATCTAAGATGCTTGTTAATAGCTGGAGGTGTGACCAAGAATCTGCATTATAACAATTCTTCCAGTGACTTTATAATTACCAGTATCATCCATAACATAGCGTATATATGTTTACGAATAAAATCTTTACAAGGACAAAACCTCATGATCTAGAAAACAATTTAGTAAAGATAGGAAATCATGACTGCAGTATAGGTTAATGTCATTGTTAATATTTAAATTTTTCATTTCCTTTAAGCTTCAAGACAATCCTGTGATATCAGAATAGTTACCCTCATTTTACTGATAAACTGAAGTGTTAGGAAGTTCAGGCAACTTATCCGGAATCATGAGATAAATAAATGCATGCATTAAAAGTGAAAACGAATGCCACAAAGCTATGAAACAGCCTATATTGCTGCAAAATGTGTAGTTAAGCATTTAATACGCCTTTTAATTAAACAATTGCTGAGGTCTTATCTGATGAAGCAAGATAGAAATACATCTCAGTTCCTGTTGGTTCATTTTATTAGCTGCTACACAAATGTTAATGTCATATAATAATCAAGATAGAGTGACTGTTTACTAAGCAGCAATATTTCAGTGATTTCCTGGAATCATAAAATGATCTAAGGTAGTCATCATTTTAGTCAACAACCCTCAAACACAAATATTTATAGTTGTGAAGCCCAGAATTGTGCTGCCCAAGGTCTTATACAGCTAGTTAGGAGCCCACTCAGCTCCAGATCTTAGTTGCATGACTTTGTTTTACTGATCTTCTTTACACTGGGGTCCCCAACCCCTGGGCCAATCCACGGACCAATCCATGGCCTGTTAGGAACTGGGCCACACAGCAGGAGGTGAGCAACAGCTGAGTAAGCAAAGCTTCATCTGTATTTACAGCCACTCCACATCACTCACATTACCACTTGAGCTTTGTGTCCTGTCAGACTAGTGGTGGCATTAGATTCTCATAGGAGCATGAACCTATTGTGAACTGCACATGTGAGGGATCTAGGTTGTATGATTCTTATGAAAATCTAATGCCTGGTGATCTGTCACTGTCTCCTGTCACCCCAGGTGGGACCATCTAGTTGCAGGAAAACAAGCTCAGGGCTCCCACTCATTCTACCTGATGATAAGCTATATAATTATTTCATTATGTATTATAATGTAATAATAACATAAATAACATGCACAATAAATGTAATGTGCTTGTAATGTAACTGTCCCTACCCTCTCCAACCCCAAGTCCGTAGAAAAATTGTTTTCCATAAAACCAGTTCCTGGTATCAAAAATGGTTGGGGACTGCTGCTTTACACCATTGACTCTGTGTTCTTAAATTCAATATGCTGATTATTTGCTTTAGTGTTACAATAACACTTCATTAGACATGAAGATTTTTTTCAGGGAATGAAACAAAATGCTATCACTACAGATACATTTTTAGGACAGGTTTACTTTTTTTCTTATTTCACTTATCAGTTCTTCTAAATTTATCTAATAAAATATTGTAAAAATGTGTGCTTGTCTTTAACTCTGGTAAATTAAAATAGAAAAAGTCTCCTAGATTCCTCATTCTTGAGTTGATCAGTTTCAGATATAGGATGATAAATAATAGGCCTTTCATAATTATGATGAAACTGCATGGATCTTAGCTATTATGAGATCTAGCTTTGATTTTTAAAAAAAAATTCATTAAAAGTGGTCATAGAAAAGCCATATTAACTTTTAACAGAATACAGATTCTTCCCTTTCCTGTGGACCTTTTTGTCTTTTTTCTCACTGATATGACAAACTTTCTAAAATATATGGACACACATATATTTTCACAAAAGGAAAAAAGGAAATGAAAAAGACATCATCAAAGATAAATTTCCAAAGAATAAACCAAATATTTATGAGCTATAGATAGATTTGGTGAAGGTTGTCTAATTTAGGCTTTGGTTTATTTATTTTGTTGTTTGAGAAGTGGTAGATTTTTGCATGTGTATTATTCTCATTCAAATTTTGCATACCACTTCAGAGTAAATACCCATTTCCTGTCAAATGTTTTATGGTAGGAACCATTTCTTTCACAAAATCAATGTACAATTTCCTAAATAAAGAAGAAAAGGATACTTACAAATCTCTGCTTAAAATACGTTGTTTTTTTCTGAGACAGGTTTAAGAAGAAATTCTGGTTAACTTTCTTTCCTGCAAATTAAAATAAAAATACTATGAAGAACCTGAAAAGGTGGCAATTTGGTTAAGTAATCAAATTTTAATTATTTTTTGGCTTTTAAAAACATTTAGTCAAAACTGGTAAACACCATGACTTGCCTGACTTTCTTGGGAAAAACAGAACCTCTAATTCAATCGTAAAGTTTTCTATTAAAAGTCAAAAGGGCTTTTTAAAAAATAACAGGTATTAGTTCCTAAGATCATGAGCTACAAAATCCAGTAAATAATTGCTGCATTGATGCTGTTAGGGATCAATGTCAAGTTGAGAAAATCATCTTGTAAAAACAACTGATCATTACAGGAAACATTTGTAGCCACATACAAACGATTGTAGGAGAATACTTGGCATCATACCACCTTTGGAAGTTTGTAGAAACACATCACATGTTGAATATATAATTATAGAGAATCTTCTGCACCCTTCTTAAGTGTCCTGAGGCATTGTACCAATATTCCCAGTTCCCACATAAGGATCACGTCAAAGGAATCTAACCATCTTTCTCTTGGAAATCAAAATAAACTACCTATGAGTAATTCCTACTCACAGAATAGGCCTTATGTTTTAGGGCTTGGCATCTGGCATGAGAAGGGTGAAAAATAGATCGGGCACAGTGGCTCATGCCTGTAATCCCAGCACTTTGGGAGGCTGAGGCGGGTGGATCATGAGGTCAGGGGATGGAGACCATTCTGGCCAACATGGTGAAACTCCATATCTACTAAAATACAAAAAATTAGCCAGGTGTGGTGGCATGTGTCTGTAGTCCCAGCTACTTGGGGTCCTGAGGCAGGGGAATAGCTTGAACCAGGAGGCAGAGGGTTCCAGTGAGCCAAGATTGCACCACTGCATTCCAGGTTGGCATCAGAGAGAGACTCCATCTCAAACAACAACAACAACAACAACAAAAAGAACAGAATGATGAAAAATAATGGGAGTATGAACCATCAGTATGCACGTTAGCCATTGGTAGCAATAAGGCATTTTGCAAATTCCTTTCACCACACTCTCACTGCCTTAGTTCAACCTCCCTTTCACTATTCCTGGACTGTGGCAACAACGTTCTGATTTTCTTGTATGCATTCTTGATTCTTGCAAATATATCCTTTACACAAGTGTCAGGTGGAATTATTTCAAAGTAAATATAGTCATAATTATTCTATAATTAACGCTTATTAGTCTGCCTATCACTTACAATATCAAGAGTCCACATCCCTTCACGTGGTACATGGTGCTCTCCAAGAACTAGCCCCACTCTACTTTTTCCTTTTCACCCATGCCCAACCTGCATCAATCCTAAAGGTTCACAGTCACACTCCACCAGTAGAATCCTGTGCTTTGTTTCTGTCACTCCTGTGGCTGGGTTTCTTTGCCTTCAATCTCCTCCCCATCTCTTTGCTAGTATCTCTTCTTCATCTACTCTGGGTCAACTTGGGCAACACTTTCCAGAGCCTTCTATGTGTCCCTCAGTCTAGGCAGGTTCCTCCCTGTGTGCTTCAAAACATCCTGGTATATATCTGTCTTTGTGCTTATCACATGCATTACACATTTCGGATTAGTGTCTGCCTTCCTGCTGCAAACACATTTTTTTAAGCCTTTTGAGGGCACGGACTGTGACTCATTTGTCTTGTCCCCAGCGCAGTGTCTCACAGATGGTAGGAGGAGTGCAATAAATATCTGTTGAATGTCAAGGTGCATTAGGTGTTTTTCAGACTTAGCGCTGCCTGAATGCATATTTTATCACCTTGGAAGAATTTTCAAATCAAAAGCAGACATCATTTTAACCTTGTTCCCATACTCAGTTTCTCAAATGACTTTTGCTCTTCCCCTCATTCCTTCCCTTGGACTTTTTCCTTCACTGAGTCCTATATGTCCAGACCAAATATAAGGAACTAAGAAGAGGAAGTGAAATATAAATGAAGAATGATGATACAGAAAGTAGTAAAAAGATAAAAAACTGGTAAACTTCAAAACTTATATAATGTAATGTAAATATGGACTCCTAAATGACACGATGAAGAAAACAAAGTTTTGTAGTCCTAATTTTTTCAACCATTTGGACACAGTTCTTGGCAAAGGTCTAGTAAAAACTATAAATAAAGTCTGTTAAATAAAACTAAACATTGCTGTTTGCATTTTTAAAATGCATGTTTAAAATATCCCTATAATTTTATCCCCTTTCCATGATTAATTTTTTTTTATTTTACAGAAATTCACCTATTCCTGTCTATTGCAATACAACCAAAAAAATAAACAAACAAAAGAAAGAAAGAAAGAATGGAGTGAAATAGTTATTCTTTTCCTCTCTACTTTGCAGTTTATGTTACATACAAATATACCTATATGGTGGACTTTGAAAATATTTCGTACTTTTTAAAATTACTGACATAAATAAAAATTCAGATTTAATGAGGATATGCTTAACACAAAAATACTAAACGTTAAGAAACTGTCAGAATCTACTCATCTTTTAAAGTATCAATTATCCAATATTTCACTAACAAAAGTGCAGTAATTCTTGAAAAGGTTTCAAGAAGAGTAACATGCCCCTAACAAATACAAAAATAACTTTTGTGTGTACATATCTCCTATATATAAATATTTATCCTATAAATTATAAGTATTTCTATACTAATAGTCTATTATAACATATTTGCTATATTATAATTATTATAAATGTCACATTAACATACAGTAAAAATAAAATATAAATAGATATAATTAGATATTCTCTCTCTCTCTCTCTCTCTCTCTCTCTCTCACTCTCTCTCTGGCTAATTGTAACCTCCACCTCGGTTCAAACAATTCTCTTGCCTCAGCCTCCCCAGTAGCTGGGACTGACAGGCACACGCCGCTACGTCTGGTGTTTCAGTAGAGAGGGGGTTTCACCGTGTTTCCCAGACTAGTAGGGAACTCCTGAGCTCAGGCAATCCACCCACCACGCCCTCCCAAAGTGCTGGGATTATAGGCGTGAGCCACCAGGCCTAGCCAGGATATTTTCTTTTTCAGTTAATCCTTTAGCAGAAGGCCTACGTTCAAAATGGAGACAAGCAGAACTGCTCTGACTACCCCGGGCTTCAAGGTCTGATGGTCTACCCACTCTCCCTCCCTCCTACTCCTCTTCTCTCCTCAGGGAAAACTACATGTCAACACTGACACTTTAGAGATGAGGCTACCAGGCTGGAGATGGAACAATAGGCGCATTTCAAGAAAGATGCAATAACCTAGCTAAAAATATTAATCTTGGTGCTTGTCCATCCTCCTTTTTGATGGATTATCAGTCCTTGTTGCAGGGACTGGTATCTCTGAATGTCCCAAGCTGACCCCAGTTGTAAATATAAATACTTAAACCATGAACTGATAGGATTTATGGTAGTTTTTGTACCAGAGTTTGGTAAAATAATAAATACTTATTTTTTCTTCCAAATATATATTTTCTAACTTGAGTTTTGATTACTCAATCAGCCAACCATGTTAATATGCAAATAATATGCATAAAGGAGAAGAATCTATCAGATCTCAAGCACAAAATTTCAGGGGGTGCCCAAAACCTCAGAAATCAAGATAAATAACATGTAAACACCAAACACTTTAAAAACAAAAATTTATGCAATGATCTATGTTGAACAAAACATCGAAATTTTAAATATAGATTTAACCCTGAATTTGTATAACTCAGCCTTATATATCTCACCTGGTTCAATGACTTCTCTGAAAAATGAATTGTAAATATAAAAATCATGTCAGGTTAGTACATTATGCAAATTTCTGCCTCAAAACACCAAGGACTGTAGAAGGAGAAGCAAATGCAGTTTGGAGGACAAAGTCCAGTCAAAGGCATGTTCCGGTAAGACTGAGGATCAGGTTTAGTTGCTTGGGAACAAATAGGCAGCTAGACAGCTATAACACATGAGATAAGATCTAGCCTATACTTTCATTTAAACTATTTTACAATGTCAGTGAGCAACTAAATCTAGTATAGCCTTCCATGCTGCTAGGTCATGCAGCTGGATTTCTTCATTAACTATGGCTATGTGCAGAAGTGATATATTCCACTTCCAGGTTACATACTGAAAGAGAAGGGAATGTGGTCTCTCTCTCCTCTTTTGCTCTTTCTGAAAACTGGGCTGCATCTGTGGTTATGAGTCACGCTCCATGAGGTGGACAAACACTATATCCTGGAGATGTTAGAGCAACTAGATGGAAGGGGCCTGCATCCCTAACATGGTCAAGCCACTATACCAGCCCTATAGCACCTACCTGGATTGCACATAAGACAGAACTAAACTTACATTGTGTTTCATCCACTGTTATTTTTGGATTTTGCAATAACTGCCAAACCAATGTCCGAAACTAATGCATATGGACATAAATGCATATACAAAATGGAAAAATCCATGGAATGTGGTGACAGGCTGCACTGAATGAGGGAGAATGATGAACTCAAACAATTCCAAGGTTTTATGCCAAGGGAACTAGGACAATCATGGAACAACCAACAAAATAGCAGGTGAGAGGGAGACGGGTGAAGTTCAGATAGTGGAAAATAGCCAAGGGGGAGCTGAAAATATAGGCCTGGAACTCAGACAAAAGGAAAAATTTGAAAACAGAAATGTCAGCAATTTTGTATAGTATATACAGATGAAAAATGTGAAAATTAATGGACCCTGAGACTAAGACAGATCAGAGAGTGCCAAAAGCTGTATGATGTGGTATTCTCACAGAAGGCAGGAGAGAGCAGCAGTAATCAGCAAAGGTAAAAAAAGAATGTTATTATCCTACATAGGAAAGGGCTAATGATTAATATCATGGAATAATAGAATTAACCTTCATTTAAGCTGACAAACAAATGTAAAGGGAATCTAATGTGGGCTAAATGTCTTAAATCCATTTGAAGCTCCCATGAAAAACTAAAGCAATTGTTTCTTGAACTAGAAAGGCAGTAATTATGGTTCTGAATAAGCCAGATCTCAATAAT